CTTCTTTCTTGGCCTCTACTCAATATGATGATGGCAATAGTGATGGCGATGCCTGCAGTCTGCCTGGAGGTGCAAGAGCCTTATTTACAGCTGGTCTGTGGCAGAGCTGGGACCCAAACCCAGGTCTACATAATTTTCTATAAATATTATCACCCTCATTTCCAGATTAGGAATGGAGTTTTTGATTTTACACTAGAATATGTGCAATTTATGCCCCTAGCATTGCCCTAGCTCAGTTTTTCTAGTTACTCTAAGAAAAGCATTATCACAAGATTAATAATGGCTTTGTTTTGATAGGAAATTGTAGTGTGCTATCTCTTTAGATCATGTTTTATACAAGTCTGTATACTGCTACTGCACACTCCATCACAAACAATTCCCTTTTCACTACTTCACTAAATATTCCTCTAAAGCATAAGTTTTATTGGCTGTGGAGGGCACTAGCTTCCATATATCCTGTAATTTATCTAACTGTTCTCCCCTTGTTAGACATGAAGGTCATTTTCAGATTTTCATTATTGTAAATAATATTTTAGTGAGATTCGAATGCATAAATATTTATGTGCATCTCTGATTATTCTCTTAGAAGTACTTCTTACATGTCAAATTGTGTGAACAATTTTAAAAATTATAGCTTTAAAATGAAAGGTACAATAGAAGCACAATGCATCAGCCGCAATGAATTTCTGAACCTCCTGGAACACAGTAACTAATATGAGCTCTTGGTAGCAGGAAATTTATCTTTTTTCCCCCCCACCCCCTTTGTATTCCATGATCTGTCCTCAATACTTGTTTGTTGAATGAATGAAAAAGTTAATAAATATATGTTTTGAACTGGACCAACTGAGTTGGGGAAGCTTAAATAGACAGATGCATTAGTGATCTCTTTAGATCTCTTTCACACAGAAATGTATCTGAATTAGCCCCTTCTCAGTACCATGTTTTCCTACAGATCCCTTGAAAAAAATGTCCATAAAGGTATATAATGATGATTATTGTGTTTGACAATTCTTATTCCTAAGGATCTTTTCTTCTTGCTATACATTCTTGAATATCTTGATTGGGCTTACCTGGGAGTAGGTTGAATAATTAATTTAAGACTCCTCCCCACCCCCATTATGTTTCTACTTCATTCTATATGTCTCATACTTTAAGGAGATTATGTTAAAAGAATAAACATCACTTGCCTGCCCCTCAGGAAGGGAATTCAAAGGTAAATGTTATCTTAGCTTGAATGCCCTTCCTAAACTTGTGAGCGGTTTTCAATACAGTATGTCCATTGGGCAACTCATTATCTCCTAGAGCCAATAAATCCATATTTGGACAGCTTAATTTGTTAGCGAACTGTGCCACAACTGAATTCTTCCTAGTTTCCATCCTTGCTTCTTGGCTCACTCTTAGCTCCTGCCCCAGGTCCTCCACCACCCCCTCTTGCCAAGTAGAAGCCAGTTCTCCTTGGTTTCCAGTTCCTGGCTTCCCTGCATGTAGGAAAGGGATTCAACCTATAATTCTGGGATTACAAACCCAGGTCTGTCTGCCTTTTTTATTATTATTGTGGTAAAATATACATAGCATAATATTTATTATTTTGACTATTTATAAGTGCACAATTCAGTGGCATTAAAATATTCACATTCTTGTGTAACCATCACCACTACCTATATGCAAAACTTTTTCCTAATCCTCAATGTAAACTCTATACCCATTAAATAATAACCTTTATGTTACTTTCTGTCTATGAATTTGTCTATTCACTTCATTTAAGTGGAATCATACAAGATGTATGATATACCCTTCTGTGTCTGAAGCTGGGCTTCTTTTTACTGCCACACCCTACCTTCATTGTAAGTGTTGCTCTCCATCACTAATGCATTTGTCTATTAAAGTTTCCCCAACTCATTCAGTTCCAAAAACTGCCACACTTCTACAGAGATCTCAACGGTTTTGCCTGCATGTCATTTGCTTGTATAGAAAGCAAGGCAGGAGACACAATGCACTATTCCTTTGTCTTAACTCTAAATGCCTGTTTAGGCAGTTTCTCCTTTCTGTTTATCAGAGCTCCTTTTATGAAAATATGAAGAATGGAGAATAATTATTCCCTCGCCCCCTACAGCAGTCCTTCTGGTTGTGATCCTGCTTTTTTTTTTTTTTAAAGAAATGACTTGATTATTTGTCCAGTAAATTTGATTGTTGCTTTTAGTTTGAAACGGATACTATTTATGATCTATTTTTTATTTTGAAATTTCAAATCATCCCATTAACAGCAATCCTATAGTCTTTCCTGGTATTCAGTTTAAGTTCAAAGTCATGTAGATTTCAAAATCTGCATTTATTCCTCCTCTTTTTTTTTTTTTTAAAAGAATCAGATCTACATTCATTTATTCAGCTCTTCCAGAACCTCTACTGGTTGGCAATGGCTTATAGATCTTATTTGTGAATTTTCTGGGTTGCAGTTACTTTACAGTGTCCTTCTGCTCATCTTAAATTTCTTTTACCAGTCTTGGACTTTCTTTTTCTCTTACCATATTTAGTCTTCTATTTTAAGTTCAAAAATTGTTCTTCATGGAAGAGAAGACAAGGATAAAAATAATAGGGGAGCAGTTTTTTTTTTTATCTCTCTTTTTAAAAATATTTTTATTGATGTCAGAGGGAAAGGGAGAGAGAGAGGTAGAAACATCAATGATGAGAGAGAATCATGGATTGGCTGCCTCCTGCATGTCCCCCACGGGATCCAGCTTGCAACCTGGACAAGTGCCCTGACCGGGAATTGAACTGTGGTCTCCTGGTTCATAGGTCAACACTCAACCACTGGGCCACACCGTTTGGGCTCTTTCTCTTTGTTATTCCACCAACATCACATCATTGGTGTCAAACATTTCATTAATCTCTTCTTGGTATTCCTTTTGTTTCTAACATAACTGAAAGAACACCCTTAGTTGTACTTAAAAATTATAGGTCTCGATCTATCTGTCACTATTTTGGGGGGGCCCTAGCACTCCCTTAGATTTGTTCTTGGGAGCAACCTTTTCTATTGTTTCATCCTAGCCCTGTTGAAATCGGAGGTCATTATAGACCTATGTAGGAACCCCCGTCAGTCTCCCTAGGTGGAATCACAACACGTGATTATGTAGACAGAATTACGGCCTAGGTGGACAGATGGGGGCCACTCAACCCTCTTTCGGAGTCTGTTGCACCAGAGTCATGGTTCTGCTTCTGTTGAGCTTTGTGAATTCTGCCTTCTGGAAGTTTCAGATTTTATTATCATATATATATATATATATCCATAATAATAAAAGCATAATATGCTAATTAGACCAGACATCCTTCCAGATGAAGCCGGGGCTGCGAGGGAAGCCCGGGTCCCGGGTGCCAGAGGGAAGCCGGTGCCAGCAGCAGGGGGAAGGAAGGCCTTCTCTTGCATGAGATAAAATATATATTTTTTATTTCAGAGGGGAAGGGAGAGGACGAGAGAGATGGAAACATCAATGATGAGAGATAATCATTGATTGGCTGCTTCCTGCATGCCCCCTAACTGGGAATCCAACTGTGACCTCCTGGTTCATAGGTCACGCTCAACCACTGAGTCTTACCGGCGGGGCTATTATCCTATTTTTGACCACCCCTGTATCTGACTATCAGAAATGCCAGGATATGCTTTTTATCTGTCACTGTTGGAATAAAGTTGGGCAATTAATAAAACAATACAGTTAAAGTAGCAAATTATAAAAGATACATGTGCATTGAATATTTTAAGTTAAAACATATTAATGAAACAAATTTGTTCATTCCCAATTGACACAGGGCAAAGGTCTTTTTTGTTTTTAATTGATTAGAGTTCCCTACTGCCATTTTTTGGTACCATCTATAATTTTCAGTTTTTATTTCCTTTAAGTTGGGCAAATCTTGTACAAAAAATCTGATCACAGCATCCAAATAGATCTATTTTTTTTGCAGTTATTAAGTTTTCAAATGATGTTCACTGTTGAATTGCCTATACCTAATTTAACAATTACTTTTAGAATTCTTTATCAAAACTTTCCAAAACATTTAACTTAGTTAACAATTCTTTTCTTTTTGCACTAATATTTAGTCAGTTCGTATAGTATTAAACTTGAATTGCTTAATCCACAGTAAGTGCAACTGGGATGAGTAGGTTTGGAAGGAAACACAAAACAGATGTTTGATAAGCACACTACTTGGAGGTGGAGCAGAGGTAGTAGAGAGTGAGTGTAGGATGGTTAAGAGGGCTCTGTCATATGCTATAATCTGTCATCATTGTGTTTACCCCAGGTTTGTTATTTCACTTCACTAGCTGACATCTTTCATGTTTAGAATTAGATCCAAATAGTAGTTTCCCTGGTTACTTCCTCTCTCTACAGAGAAATAAAATTGCCATCCAGTCAAGGCGGTAATTTGAGAGACATTCTGCTTTTAGTTTAGCATCTCCCTAATCAAATGTTTGGGGTCATTGAAGTTTCACATCCCAACTGTTTCGTGCCTCTGTGCCAACATTGTAAACTAAATCAGGAAAACATCATCCATTTCTTCCATTGGGCCAGACGGTCTCTTAATTTCAGTTTCATCAACATTATGATATCTTTTCCTCTCATTTAATCCTCATTCAAATGCCTCTTCATCATCCTTACTACCTTGGTTCATGGATTTTCACATAGATGATGAGTGATACTTCTTTACCTCCCTTCCTTACAGATATTTGTTTGGAATACTACCAACTATCAGTAATTATTACGAAATTGTATTTACCATCTTATTCTCAAGTTACCGTGCTCTGTACTGTTCTCATACAACTAAGAGACTCTTGAGAACATCATTTTGGGAACTTTTCCCAGTAGTTTTCTTTTCCTTTTTTCTTTTTTTCATTTGTTTCCCAGTTTTCTTATAGGATTAGTAGGGCTCCTCCCTAACTATTCTTCTTTTTCCCATGACAAGACTGAAGACCTTTCTGGTAACTGCTTTCATGGTTTTACATGCTCATTGCTTTCTTTTTTCTTCCATATTCAATGTAAAGATCAACTAGTCATCTTCAAGACTTTCTTCCCTGTCCTCATGAGGTGTCGGCAACCCTATGCAAAGTCCATCATTGCAGTACACTATGCATCCAACAGAAAATGACATCCTCTTACCAATCACCTCTTCACTGTAAGCTGTTCACTGACTCAATAGTTTCACTTTCCCGAAGTCCTAACATTGAAAGGAAGAGGCATAAAGAACCCCACCTGTGTTCCTGGGTCTTTTAGTCTTCAGCCTGTGACTTCTTCTTAGGTACTAATGATGCTCCTTTTGTGTGCTAGTGATGTGATCCATTCCCATGAAGATCCAAGGACTGATTCATGGGTTAGTAGGGCTTAGAATATCTCAGTAGACTATTATATTGCAGAACCCGTCACCACAACGATGGACTGCAAGCATGACTGACCAAATCATATTTGCACAGAGTCCTTAATACTCCCAACAAGGAGTGGTGATTATTACCCATCCTTTCTCTCCCAGGTCAGTAGCAGGTTTCTTTATTCCAATGGTGCGTGGATGTCTTCTGGAGATGAGTCCTGACGCTCCATGTACACAAAGACAGCCATCGGCCATATCCACAGCGGGAACTGGATAGCGATTTCTGTACAGTGAGGCAGAGATAAGATTTGTTCATGAGTTTTTCATTTTCTTTTTGGAAGATCATCCTCCTCTTCACTCTACCTCTGGTTTTGTGACAAGCTTCAAATCCTGAGCTTTCTTTCCCCTTTGGGTCATATTCTCCCAAGTGAACTATATACACCTTTGTATCACCCTCTGTGTCTAATACAGTGTGCTGGAGAATTTAGCACTAAATAAAGACGTTTAAGGTTAATTAATAGAAGAACAAAGGTTTTGGAAGTCATTTTTTGAACTGTAATTTGCAGTTGCTGAGTTATTGGTTTTGACTTACTGCACTGTATTTCTTTAGCAAGCTGCAAATATTCGAGTAGCAGCAAGATATGTGGTCAATTTCTAAATAGTATGGTTGGGTTTTGTGTGTGTGTGTGTGTATGTGTGTGTGTGTGTGTGTGTGATTCAGCATCAACATGTGCTAGCTTCATAAATAAACCAAATACAACCTCTCTGCTTTTATGAAGAAAATAGAAATTTCTCTCTAAGACATGGCATTGATGCATTGGTATATTAAAGTTGCAGTGATCGGGGACCTATTCATTCCAGAGGCACCATTTTAAAAATTGAATTTAAGTCTGAACTAAAACCTTAAATAAATATAGATGTAATATTTTTTATTTTACTCTTTCAGGACAAGCCCATTGGTTTTTCATTTGTTGGCCAATGCAGGCTTCCTGCAAAACTCATTCTGATCTAATTTTGTAACCCGCAAGCTTCAGAAGAATTCTTCACAGACATCTATATCAAAATGTCTTGGCTTGGGGTCAGGGAATTTGAAGTGGCAGAATTTTGTGTCTTTGTTCATTTTTCTGGTATCCAAAACTTTCAGCATATTATTAAAGGGGCCTGTGACCCAAAAAGCTGAGCCATTTTCCTAAGACATCAGAGGTTACAAGAAATGGTTTCATTTTCTCTCCAAAAGAAGCAAAACACTTAGCTTGCATTCTCATTGATGTTCTTATCTTCACATGTTTCTTTTTCCTGTTCTGGGTTGAGATTTCTTCTGAAACATCATTGATTTTCAAGTCACCTGGAAGTATTTGATGGGACAGGTCTGGTTTTATTTTTCGTGCCAGGAGTTACAGAGTTTGAGAGACTGCTCCCGCCAGTCACTACATTGGTGCCAAATGTGGGCAGTCAGTCAGGAGGCTGTGCCCAGGAGAAACGTGAATCTTTCAACAACGGCAGCAGTTCTTACAAATGTTAAGTGAGAATACAGGGAACTAAAAAGAAGGGAGAGTATCGCCGCCTCTTTTGGGGGTAGAAACTAATGAAACTAGGTTATTTTAGAAAGCAAAGTCAAAACTAATTTAGTATGTAGAGCAGTGGTTCTCAACCTTCCTCATGCCTAGGCCCTTTAATACGGTTCCTCATGTTGGTGGTGACTCCCAACCATAAAATTATTTTCGTTGCTACTGCATCACTGTAATTTTGCTACTGTTATGAATCGTCATGTAAATATCTGACATGCAGGATGTATTTTCATTGTGACAAATTGAACATAATTAAAGCATAATGATTCATCACAAAAACAATATGTAATTATAGATGTGTTTTTCGATGGTCTTAGGCAACCCCTGTGAAAGGGTCGTTCGACCCCCAAAGAGGTCACGACCCACAGGTTGAAAACAGCTGTTGTAGAGGCTTCTGCAGGATTCTTGGTCCTGAATGTTGCCTGAGCTCTTTATGCTGAATTCTGAAAGTGACCAGGAGCCCTGTGGGCTTCTTTCTAAAAGGGCTTTGTCATTTTGAGGGCTACAATGTCACTGTCAGAGCCATGGCCCCGCGACACAGCACAGCACAGCTGGTGGGAAATGATGTTCTTGATTGAAGGGTATTCTGCATTGCCTAACAGATGGACAGAAATGTATTTTTAAGCTCAAAAAGTATTCTGCTGTAGATTTTCCCTGAACAGCTGGCTCCCTGACTTCCCAGAGCAGCACCATCGCCTCTCATTTCTCTCTCTTCTCGTGGCTTTTATCTACTTTGTGTGATCAGAATATGGGGGGAAATGGAAAGGAATTTTCCTTAAGGAGCAGCTGGGGTCAGAAAAGGTAGGGCTGAGGCAAACACTTAAGTATAAGGAAATATCGTTATTAAAAAGCTTTTCCTGTAAGCCAGATAGGATTTCTAAACACAGGAATTAAACATTGTGCTTATAATAAAATAAAATAGAAATGGCAGCTCCTAGTATATTTTTACTGCACATATGTCTCAGTTTAAAGTTTACCCATTAAATGTATTTGTGACGGTTTCTTCAAACAGGTGATGAAATTCAAGGCTTCTCTGTATTTCACTTGTGTTCCCCCTGCTGTGCCACAGATTTCCTCCAAAACGACATGTTTTTTGTATTTTATAACCTGCAAAATGCATCTTCTCTTATAAACTGAAAACAACTAAATGGGGTTTAAAAAGCATAACTTCCTTTATTGTTGAATGTATTATTGATGTCCCCTTTCTTCCCCATTGTCCCCTTCTAGCCCTCCCCGCAGTCCCCACCCTGCCCCAGGCCTTCACCACACTATTGTCTGTGTCCATGGGTTATGCATATATGCATATTGTCTTATCTTAATATAGGCCCTGTTACTGGGCTGTGAGCTGTGGAAACTTCAGTCAAGATCAGTCCTCTATCTAAATGTCACCCATCTTTGAGTCCTTTCCATAGTCTTCTCTATGGCTAAAAGCTTCCCTCTTCTCCTGAGAACTGTGAAAAGCCTTTTGGTGGGAGACTCATGTGTTCTCTGCACTTTCCTGTTAGAGCAACTGACCCCATCAATTCAGCTGTAACCTCAAGCACTGCACTACTGACTTGAGCTCCATCACTTGGAGTATATTGTACATCTTTTCAGGTCCTGGAGACACAATTCATAGTGGGACTAATGCCTTCATGTAACTTGTTGTGTGTGTGTGTGTGTGTGTGTGTGTGTGTTTAAAGAGAACTGGGGAGAACAGACCTTAGGTGTGAGGAGGTCAGATACCTGCAGAAGGAATGGTTGAAAAATTTGCTACAAATTAGGGCAAATATGGCCTCCTCCATCTCCCAGCAACTGGCTTGTGGCTTAAGCTCAGTTACAGATGCCTCTCTGAGAATGTTGTAAGAACATGACAACAAATACCAATCTGTGACACTATTTAGCAAGGGACATAGGGACACTTCTAATTGGTTTTTAGAAACCAGAATGAAGTAGCTAGTATTGTAGGATATATGGGTGATGTCTACCCCACCTCTCAATCTAAATTCAGGAGGTGCATGGAAACTCCTCCAGATTCTTTAAATAAAAGTGTGGACATTTTAGGTGTTTGACTTTCCGAATTTAGAATAAGACCTGTTGGAGTGGAGATGGAAAGAACTACCAAAGAACTTCAATTAGCTTTCATTTACGTGCCTCAATTTCTTCTCTTTCTTTAAAATCTCTCCCTTTTCTTCTTCTGTTTGCCAAATTCTCTACGTGGTTTAGGTATTGTTACAAGTGATGACCATAGTCGATAAAATATCTGTCTCATTTTCCCACAATGTAAAGCAGAAAAAAATGGGACATAAGAAAGGGCAGACTATTTGTCACAACCTGGATAGATTTTGAGAGTATCATGCTAAGTGAAATGTCTGATGAAAAAGGACAAGAACCATATGATTTTACTCATATGTGAGGTATAAAACAGAGGTTTTATAAACAAACAAATAAACAAACAAAACGTACAAACTCATAGACACAGACAACTGAAGGGTGGTTCCCAGAGGAAAAGGGGAGGTGAAGGGAGGACACAGAGGGGTCAAATATATGGTGATGGAAGGAAAGCAGACATTGAGTGGTGAGCATACAATGCAATATACACATGGTGTATTATAGAACTGTACACTTGAAATTTATATAATGCTAGTAACCAACTATAGGCCTGGTGCACGAAATTTGTGCATGGGTAGAGACCCTAGGCCTGGCCAGTGATCAAGGCTGATTGGGCCCTTCTGGCTGCCAGCTGGGGTCTTCCTTTGTTCCACCTCCCCCCCCACCCCCCTGTAGTCAGCACACATTATAGTGAGCGATTGAACTCCTGGTCGAACTCCCAAGGGGACACTTTGCATATTAGCCTTTTATATATATAGATGTCACCCTAATAAATTTATTTTTTAAAAAACTCTTATAAAAAAGGAAGGGCAGACGGAAGCAGGTCCACATACCATTTCTGTTGTATCTAGATTTGCAGCATATTATCCCTTTAACCAGGCAGGAGATGTAGGAGACCAACTCCATCAACCCATCTCAAGCGTAATGAGTGACACAATGTTGATGATGTCACTATATCTTTTTCATTTAGAAATAAAGAAAGCCTTCTCACATCTTTACAAAGATTACTTCACGTATTAACTGAGAATGCAGAATGTGCCTAGGAATTTTTACTCATGGAACTAATGAGAACAAGTCATTAAAAAATTATTATACAAGGGTTTTGTTTAACTTTCTTGCCAAGTGCCTGCTTTAATAGTAAGGTAATATAAA